TATCAGAAGCCTAATCTTGATACAAAAGAAATATTAAAATTATTGACTTCAATGTATTTTCTTCTCTCTGTCCTTGTGACTACCATTTTTTTGCTGGAAATAGATCGAAGGAAATAAAATGAATGTGGAAACTGCTACAAGTCTAAAAATTGCTCAATATTTTGGCTGTAGTTAGTAAATGTTGTGTGATAATAGCTGAAACGCAGATGTTGCCAGCTGTTTAGCAACTCCGCTTCTACACGCCACCTACCTTCTTCATTTCCGTCACCAATCCAGTATCAAGCTCTCTAGGAAGGAATGTTGATATCAGCCTTTTGGAATGTGCTGCAATTATGCCAGGGAATTGACCTTCAGAAGTGCAGCCATAATTTCAGGTTTGCTATAGGTGGATGTGGAGAAAAAAGGGGCTGGGGGTCAGTAGTTGGTATACATTTCACATAAGTGGAGAAATACATCATGGTTTATATATTCATTTTACTTTGAGTGAAACGAATGTATGAGCATATTTGGGAGCATCTTTGGAAGTACTGACTCCAGAGAGAATGTTTTGCTTGCCATTCCAGCTGGACTCAGGCTGCTTGTGTTATGTCTCTCAACACAGATTTGTGAGGACAACAAATTGGTAAGAAATGTGGAAAAAAAGGTTACAGAGCTCAGAACTGTCAGAATTTGATCAGGCTATTCTAGTATGAAGTGGCAGCTGTTTGACTAATAGCTGTTATGGAGTGTTTTTACTGTGGTTGTTGTTACAGATTTCACCTCTAAGCTACTGGGGCATTTTTCCCATCAAGAAAACAAGTAGAAAAATTGAAGATACTTAACAAATTGTTCATATTTAACATTTATGGTCTCGGAAAATCTTGGTCATAATGACAATAGAATGAGCTAACTATGCAAATACATTTCACTCTTAGCTTTACTCTTCTTCCAATTGTCTGCAGTTAGACTTTACCTACCAGTTGCGTTTTATTGTAACCTTAGTTTGTGGGTTCTCTGGGGTGGTTACCATCTTTGTTATAAGCATTTACCTGGTTGCAGCATAGCAGAACTCTTACACTAAAAATTCTGTTTTCTGCTTTGAACTGCTGTTTTCATCGCCATTCATGTAAATGTGCCTATTTTGTATAAAACTATTTCTTTACAAAGGAACACTTTCATTTCATCCTAATAATCTGTGTAGTTTCCTGTTATTTCAGGTTTAATCAATGTTTTGTTGGAGAATTCCTGACTTAAAGAAGAAATATAAAAATGTGTCTTTTATTGACCTGCAGTATTCCAAACTCAGTTGTATACCCTTGAGTCACTGACACACTTGTGTAGTCTTTCGAAAGGCTCTGTTAGCAATGTGTCACTATTTCTGAGATTATTAGCCAGTTCAGTGATGTGACTCTAAACCATGATGCCACAGTGTCACTGCTTGCTAATAGTTCAAAATTACATGGGGAAACAGCTAAGTTTTTTTTCACCAAAAGTGAGGGGTGGACCATCAGAATCGTCATTCCCATGTTTTAATTGTCAGCTGCTGACTTATGCCTTTCTGTTTGTGAGATTCGCTTGTACAATTTAAGTTGGGAATGTTAATTTTTAATTGCTGTGAAATTGCATGCTTTTCTTGAGTTTCAAGTTCAAAACCACTTCATTGAGGGAGTATTCGTCTTGGAAGAAGGTGGTTGAACCATAGCTAGCCGGTCTTGGTAGGTGTTTCAGGGACTCCAGTCTTCAGCCTAGCTTTCAGTTACGAACATGGCTGCTTGTTTTTACAGTCTGCATAACTTGCTGGTTTTGGAAAGATGGATTTCTTGTTAGTTGCCTTTATATGTTACTCTACAGGCACTAACAGACTTTTGAAATGTGGGGAAACATAATTGAGGAGTGCAGCAGAGGCTGGGATCTACCTGGCTGGGGAGCAGCTCTGTGGAAAGGGACCTGGGGGTCCTGGTGGAGAAGCAGCTCAATATGACTGAACAGTGTGCTGCAGCAGCAGTGCAAGCCAACAGGATGCTGGGCTGCATCAACAAGGGCATCGCCAGCAGAGATGAAGAAGTCATTATCCCACTCTACTCAGCACTTGTCAGGCCACTCCTGGAATACTGTGTTCAGGTTTGGTCCCCACTATGCAAAAAAGATGTGGACAGGCTGGAGAGGGTCCAGAGAAGGGCAACCAAGATGGTCCGAGGACTGGGAAGCCTGACGTATGAGGAAAGGCCGAGGGAACTGGATTTGTTCAGCCTTGAGAAAAAAGGCTTAGGGGAGACCTTATCACCACGTTCCAGTGTTTAAAAGGTGGCTACAAAGGAGATGGAGACTCCCTTGTTACGAGGAGTCACGTGGAAGAGTCGAGGGGTGATGGGTACAAGTTACTCCTGGGGAGATCCCGATTGGACACAAGAGGAAAATTTTTCACAATGAGAACAGTCGGCCATTGGAATAATCTCCCCAGGGAAGCGGTGGATTCCCCAACACTGGATGCTTTTAAGGTTGAGCTGGACAGGGTGCTGGGCCATCTTGTCTCGACTGTGCTTTTGCCAAGAAAGGTTGGACCAGATGGTCCTTGAGGTCCCTTCCAACCTGGTATTCTATGATTCTTTTGTTTCAAATTAACCTCTGTGTAGCTTAAGAAATGAAGCAGTGATCAGACTTTGTGTATTTGCTTTCTGTTGGTTTAACGCACTATTCCTTGCAAATTTGGTCCTCTGATTTAAAAACTGAAATAAGCTCTTACTCAAATTGCAGGTAAGTGGATGAACTCCATTACCAGAAGCCACTTCTGTCCAGAAGAGTTGTATGTGTTTCTGAATCTAATAAACACCAAAAAAATCAAACTACAAGTCCTTGAAGGCATCATTCCTTTTATTGTTCTGTAAAGAAGTGCATGCATTAAAAAAAGACTAAATGCCTCTATCTGGAATGTGAAATGTTAATTTTCTGATTCATAAAGGAAAAAGCAAACCTTCAGAATTTGGTTGCCGTAACCTCTCCCTGCATAAACCTTCATCTGTTTATTAGTCAAAGTGGGTGTTTGGAACTGACAGTGAGGTTTTTGCTCTTGTCTGACTTTGCCTGACGGCTTTGCTGTCGAACACTCTGAGTTACTTGCTTCCTTCACCTGCAAACGCTCACATACTTTTTTTCAGTGATCTAACTGAGAAAGATCCAAAGTGATCTCCAGTGACGACAGAAAAGCTAGGTATAGAAAGGCACATGTCTGCATTTGCTGAACAAATTAATATCAAATACAAATTAATATTAATAGTGATGTTGAATTAAGAGTCCATAAAAAGATTGCAATTAATTTTATATTGGTGGAAGGTAGTAGTCATTCAGGTTATGACTAAGAACACCACATATATATCCTCCAACGTAGACCTTGTTGCCATGCTCAAGAAAAGAAAGGTGCTCAGTAAAGTCAGCTTCTTAAACTTTGAAATGTTTTCTTTGTTGTGACCTTCTTTCTCAATTTAATTCAGAAGTAGAAACAGAAAAGTAGCATTATTTCCTATGATCTTGCAAGTACTGACAGATCATTAGGGTGTGTTCTGCTCAGGTGACTTGTGTGTGGCCGTTAGAGTGTGTGATTCTAATGTGTTTGATAGTGTGGGGCCTCTTTAAAACCCTACTTTCTAGGATCAGTGTATTTGCTTTGGTAGTGCTGTTCACAGGCCAGTTTTTGGCGGTCCTAGGCCTTTTACTTCTCTGGTTCAAGGAGTTGAACTGAACAATTGCAAAGATAGATTTTCACTATAGTCTGAGCAGGTGCAGGATAAATGAATGACGATTTGATGGACTGAAAGACTTTGGAGTTGCCATATTGTTTCTCAGCGAGTCAAACATTCCTCTGGGTCTTGCTACAGGTTGTATTTTATGTGTAATAGCTGCACTAGAGAGAAGGTGCTTTTATTGTAAGGATGGAATGTGACATCTCTCTCTTTTTTTTTTTTTTTTTTTTTTTTTTTTTTTCCCCAGCAGCCAAATATGAAGGAATTTGGAAAAGTGTGTGATGCTGAGTCTGCAATGTTTCTTTTAAGGGAAAATCATGAAGTTATCACTATGGAGTTCAGTGTGGTCAGGGACAGCCTGGTTGAAGAGGCCAGCGAATGCTTGTCATTTGAATGTACCCAAATTGATTTAAGAAACAAATACTGAAACAACAACAGCTTTGAGTAATATTCTTAAGCTTAGTCTATTGATTTAGTTTTCCTTGTCTTCAACAAAACATATGAGTAAAGTAAACCAAAACAATTAGCTCAGTATAAATTGTGTGTGTTTTTATAAAGAGTGGTGCCTCTGGTTGGAAGGAAAACAGCCCAGCTGATAGTTGTATAACTAGCTTTTCTGATTTGGCAGCATCTGTAAGTGGTGTGGAACTTGACAGGAGGAAGCCAGCTTTCTGCAGAAGGGATATACTTGATAGGAACACAAGCAGGCAGAATGCCTGTCAGACTGAAAGGTGATGGAGATCACAGCCCCCCACTGGCAGGAACACATCTGGCCTTGTTTAGAAATCCCTGCTGGCTTTTCATGTGAAATAAAGTCCTTTTCATTCTCCCATCTTTCAGCAAATTGTTTTGCTACTCAGAATGGACACAGGAGAACAGGAAACATGTTTGTGAGCAACAAAATTCCTATAAATTCTGGGTTATTTTGAGTGCCTAAAGTAGGTTTCTATTTATGTTGCTTTATTTCTTGCTGTTTACCTGTTTGTTTGGCCTTGTGTGCATTGTAGGTATGTACACATTTAGATGAGAGTAAACCCAGCTGTTACCTGATTTTTATCTTAATTTTTCTACTAAGCTTGGTGAATGGGGTCACAGGAAAATAGATTTACTTACAGATTCTTTTTTATTTAGCTATCCTATTGCAAGTATATGCTTAGTGAAGGCATGCATTTATTTAGCATTTACTTAGCATCTGTTCTTTTGTCCATTGTTTCAGTGAGGGGAATTGCTCTTCATCCTGTCTGCATTATATCTGCCAGGAGACGACCATTAGAGACTTCCATGTTAACAGGGAAAATTGAACTTCAGTGGAAACTTCTGGTTTTTAAAATTATCTATTCAGTGTAATTAACTGTTAGCCTTGTTATCTTCCCTGCTTGCACCTAGGAGGCAGAAACAAACTAAATATACTTCCCTTCTTGATACAGCAGCTACATTCACATATGTACTTTTTTTTGGTCTGACATGACATGAGTGAAAAATAATTTGGAAAGTGTTTTTCTAATTACTGACATTTTATTCACAGTTTTAAACCATAAAAAAGATGACCAAACTCTGTTGACTGTAGAAACCAGATTCTGGCAAAACAGTTGCTGAATTTAACATCATAAATCCAGCAGTTTTGATAGAAAATTTGTGATTACATAATGTACAGCTGGATAAAATATTTTAACATCTTAGTTGTCTAATACTTTAGCTGCTTAAGCTCTATAAACTCTTACCAGTACAGTGCATGGTTGGCATCTCACTCCTCTCAATGGGCTATGAAGTTGAAAAAATTCTAATGTGCTATTATTTTGTGGTACAACCTTTTTGGTTTTACTCATTAGAATTTCATTTGGATTTTTAAACACTGGTCTAGAGTACAACCACGTTTCTGTGTAAATATATTCTGTTTTCCACTTTGTGGTTACCTGCCCATCCATCAATAGTAAAGAATCTGTAAAGCGTTGAATTTGGATTTTGCAGTTAGCTTTCTTCTATAGCTGCCTAACCTGAGCCTAAAAAGCTAAATCACTGATGTGACTCAGTTTTGTCTGGGATGTGATTTGTAATTTGTGCTATTCTTCCTCATTGCCTAATTGCTCTATTATTTTATTTGGGATTATGTCTTAAGCTACTACTACATTTGTTTGGGGTTTTTTTTTGATCCTTTTTTCTTCCATGAACCTGGGAATTATCACAGAACTATACAGCAATGCATCATATGTGTAAAACTGTTAATAAAAAAGAAAACATTCTTAAAATTTAAATAAATACAGATTATTCAGGATAAGAGTTCATAGTTTTCCAGCATTAGTGAACAAAGATGTATAGAAAAAAAAAAAGGCATTTTGAAGTTGTTATGGTTATAGTGCCCCCTTTTTAGCTGGATTTTACAGAATGCTGATGATCTTGATGATAGCCCAAGACTCAAATCTGTAGACTTGTTAGTTTTGCCAGTAGCATCAAAATGACATGGTGTTTTTTTAGGGGGAACTAGGCCTTTCCTGTCAAGTTTTCTGCTTATAAAAACATAACATCGACCTGTTTGATAAATGGGATATTTGAATTTGGTTTGAATACTTTCCACGTTGATTTCACCTTTTTAAATCAGGTAGATTATTTTTCATTTTTGTGAATGTATAAATTCTGTTAAATCTACCTCTGTTGTGCAGGATTATAAAGAGTGTAATCCTTTAGCACAAAAGCATACGTTGTATATTGTAAGAAATAATAATAACATTTTTCTAAGCATTGAAATTCCTTACTTTTTGATGGATTTCTTTTGCATTCTATTTTTTTGAGGATTTAACATGAAGACGTCTAAGAATCATAAGTAACTAGTAAAGGAATGAGCAAAGCTCAGTTAAAATATAATTCCTATTGTTTATATGAAAACCCTGTCTTAATTTACAAAAATCAGCTCTGTGTTTGGCATAAAGAAATAGGGTTATGGTTGTTCTTATGGGAAATAGGGTAAATGTTTTATTGAACAATTTGCTTGATACGGTACCTGAATTCTGATGCCTTTTTAATAAAGTGGATTAGATGGTAAATAAAATCATTGTAGTTTTGAACTAACTGACGTACAGAAGTTGAGAAATCGGAAGGGTTTTTTTCACTCTGTTGGCTTTGAAAATCAGTAACATCTCTTTTGCTTGTTACTAAATATATCTTAAATCCACAACAGAAAAGTGCTTTTGAAAATGTGTTCCTTCCATCATTTATAAACTTGCATGTGATAAGGGTCGGGCATATTATTAATTTGTTTTATCTTTAACCTTGGATTGTATTAAATATTTGGATCTACTTCTAAAGCTCTTTTCATCTTTGTGTTGTTTTGATAAAACTGTAGTGTCACCTTTATATCCAGGTCATTCAACCTTCTAAACTCTAGCTATTTAAGCACTAATATGTTTTTTGTTGCCATTCATTGGACTGAAACTTTTAATATGATAGTTGCTGCAAATTCAATATTTGTGGTGTTGACTTCAGTAGGAATCTCCTGAGAATGATTTTAATTTGAGGAGCTGTTAAAAGAATGGATGTAGAACAGGAATTCAGGGCTCCTTTGAATTATGTTTGCCTGATAAGGTAGGGTCATTTGGAAATACTCTAAGAAATAGGCTGGTTTTGCTTTAACCGGCATCTAAGAAAGACTAAACTAATCCTATAGAAGGGAAGAAATATGGCACCAAAATGGAAAAGAATATAGGTAGAAACCTCAGGAGATTAAATTCAGGGAAGAAAATTTGTGCTACAATTGGGCATTTTAATAGACTGTAGAACTGCTGCCTAGAAAGGATATAATTTTGAACAGGAGACAGTAACCTTGCTATCCTTCCTTGAACAGATTGGAGATACTCCTTTCAAAATTATACTAGCTCTTTGCAGGGTAACCTGTCTTTTTGTATGTAAACAAAGTAGACCTATGCTACAGGTGAAAGAAGTATTAACATCAAATTTAAATGTAGGTAGTGTCTTTTAAAGCCAGTGTCAATGGTGATGCAATTTGAGTGTGGTTTTTTCTTTTTTTTTTTTCCATAGAATTTTATCATTTCACAAATACTAGTTTTTCTGCTCATGAAATATGACATATTGGTAGATCTAGCGACAGAATGCTTTTCCTTATCAATGAAACAAGGTATAGCCAGACTACGAGGAACATGTCCTCATATTGCTAGAAAGTCTCAAATCTCATGCTTTTAATCAAGGTTAGTTTGTTGTCCACACATACTGCGAGTAGTGCTATTAGAGTTGTTTAGAGTTGGTGAATTTCTTTAGAACTGTAAAATGTGTGAGTGCCCGTAACATATATGTTGAGACCACAAAACGGGTGTTGCATGGTAGTTTTGATAACTTCCATTTGAACAGGATTGAGTTTAATCCACTAAAAGTGTAAAGTCTCTTAAGATTTTGTTCCATTTATATTTCTGACTGCAAGCCAGTAAAATGATGTTAATTTAGCAGCATATTCTAATGTGTGTCTGAGTACTGTACTGTGACCCTTTTTATGTTCAGTAACAGTGTGCTATTTATTCCAGGATGATGTGATGATGCCACAGCGGGTTAGACTGCAGCACGAAGCTGCCATTCAACACCCAAACAGTGTGAGTACTTTTTTCTTGTGTGTATTTGTGTGTTTTTCTCTTACAGAGTGCCGGATACATCTTTAAAAGGATATGAAAATTTCACAGTAGGGCTGGTGGAGGCAAAGCAATAACCAATGTATTCTTTTCCTTTATTTTTAATCCTTGCACTGAATAGTAGCTCTGCTGAACTTCTTTTCTTCTATTTATTTTCTTTGTTCAGTAAACCAAATCTTTTTATGACAGTGATACTCTTTTTCAAATAAGTGTACAGGTTTCGGTAATATATCTAATCTAAAGGAGAATGCCATTTTTATGTACCATAAGTAATGTGAAAAGCTGCAAAGGATTGGCTACAGGTATGGTTTATCTGGTTTTAATACTTAAGAAACCATAAACTATAAGGAATGCATGGGTTGTTGTCATTAATAAACTGCCCTACAGTTAAATCAATGTTTCTCACTATGTCTGCCTGCAAAGGAAAACGTTATTAGAATGCCATTCTTAATTATTCTGAAATAAACCCTCAAAAAACATTCTGAGAGATAGTTGTTTTATGATCTATGTGATTTTGATTTTAAATAAATTTCTGTGATTAGGGCCAGTATCCCATAGGGAGAGTTTGTATATCTGTTCTACTTAGGTGAAGATAATAAATATAAATAATTTGTTATGGCAATTGCTTTATTTGTCAATGTTATTGACACAGATACTCCTTTATAAACTTGAAAACTGAGTTTGTATTCCTATCAGCAATGTTCAGCAAAAATAGGCTTATTGTTTTCACATCTCTGACATTTTATCTTGTGAGATTTATTTCAATGTGATCTGTCAAAAAGGTCCTTCCTGCAGGTCTCAGAATAAAATAGACAGCTTTAGGGTTATCACTTTCTGGGAATTAGATACCTTTTGAACTTTTCCTCCAAAACACACTTGCTTCAAACTAGAGATTATTGCTGCTGTTTCAGCTGTGGAATATGTGCCAGACAATCCGCTGCTTAGTGGTGGGATATGTACCTGCTCATCACACCACCTGTATTAGGTCTCTTATGAAATCTGATAATCCTTACAATGTAATTTATCAAGTTATAGTTTTAGTAGTACCTAAGTAGCAGTTAATCTACTTCACATTATGAACATAATAAAACGATACATCGAAAGTTGTTTTTGTTCTGATATCAATCAGTTAATGTAATTCTGTAGTAAAAAGCCAAAAAACCGGAGAGGCAGGTTGATCCAGTAAGCTTGTTGTATGGAAACTAGTGCTAAGACGTATCATATTTCTTGCTTATATGACTTCTATATCTGTATATTAAGACTTTTTTAAATTAGACTAATTTCAACTGAACCATTTGTAGTCTATTTAGGAAACACTTCAATTGTTTTGTTTATATTCTGTTATACTTTAGTGCCTAACAACATTCAGTATGAACTATTAAATGACAATCAAATAAACAGTAATGAGTGCCTGAGTAGACTGAAGGGCGTTTCTTCATGATATATTCTAAGCAACACAAACTTGTTCTTTCCATGCTCTGAACTAATCTAAACTTGTGGTCCTGTTTTAGCATGGTACTGCTGTCCTATTTGCAAAGCTTAACTTGAGCTTTGTGCTTTACTAAGTAAAACTAGCTAAAGTCAGTCTGATTTAGGATGGGAAAGGAGAGTTTCCACCTTTCAGTTATCTGACATATTGGTACCTAAAGTCTTCAATTTAGGAAAGTGTAAAAATTCTCAGAAATGAATGGAGAGTAGGGGCTGAGATTTTAAACCATAGGAAAAATGGTAGATGTGTGTGCTTCATGTATGGCATAGAGATAGTATGTCAGGCTAGAGCCCGTCTCCTGCCATCGCTTTCTCTCAACTTTCTACTGAATTGGAGGGTTTCCTTGCAGCTTTTTGGGCAATGACCTGGGTTTTCTTTTTTATCTTTCTTTACACTTCTCCTGGTTTTTAGTTTCTGTTATTTCTTGCCTTGTGTTGTTGCCTGTTAGATGTAAGATTTTCCTTCTTTGTTCTTGAATCCTCTGAAGGCAAAAATGAATCTGTGTTTGAATTGAATGGAACTTATTTTTCCATTTTACAAGTATAAAAATGTTTTTAATGCCTATATGAAGTATACCTTCTGGGTTAATGTTGTATTTTACAAACCTCTAATTCAAAGGCCTGAAAGGAGAAATGGGAACATCTGTTCCTGATGAGCAAATAGATCAGTTTGGTCCAGAGATCCCCGAAAGTTCTAACACAACTTGAGTTACTTTAAGAAAAGAAAAGTTGACCTTCTGGCCACAAATCTAGTGACCGATGTCAGGGTGGACTGCTGTTCTTAAAAGAACGATCTCTTTACTGTCCTCGGAATAATTGTGCCATTCAATTTTCTGGCCTTGGAAGATGGTTTGGGATGTTTGAATAAAGTTCTGTTCTGTATTTGAAGTTCTGACCCTAGCTTCAGTCAGTATGATAAGCCAGAAGTAGGTGGAGGAAAAAAACAAAACAGAAGCTTGAGCAATGTCTGTGAAGCAGTGAGCTTTTTTGGTTTGTTCCTGAAATTCTAATTTGCAGACTTGGACTTTCCACTGTTTTGCAACTTCTTCTGACCTGGATATTTGACTTCATGTAGTTTCAGTGTACTTTATATAGTCTCAGTATACTTTCAAAAACTTTTTTCCTAATCCTAGCTTTGCTAATTTTTACTGAGAACCAGAATTCCTGGTGGGTTCTAATATTGGAGGCTTCATTTTACTGTCATTACTACTATAGATTTACAGGTAAGAAAAGTCTCCAACTTTCTCTACCAGGAGAAACCTTATCCCAGATCCTAGCTAACCTCTGAGGTTTCTCCTCTTTCATGTTATTCTTAAATGCAGATTGCCTTACCCTGACTTCATAGAATCATAGAATGGTCTAGGTCAGAAGGGACACCTTCCACTAGACCAGCTTGCTCAAAGCCCCGTCCAATCTGGCCTTGAACACCTCCAGGGATGGGGTCTCCACAACTTCCCTGGGCAATTTGTTCCAGTGCCTCATCACCCTCATTGTGAATTTTTTTTTCCTGATATCTATTCTAAATTTCCCCTCTTCCAGTTTGAAGCCATTCCCCCTCGTCCTATCACTACGTGCCCTTGTAAAAAGTCCCTCCCCAGCCTTCTTGTAGTCCCCCTCCAGATACTGGAACGGCTTTTAAGGTCTCCCTGGAGTCTTCTCTTTTCCAGGCTGAACAACCCCAACTCTCTCAGCCTGTCCTCACAGCAGAGGTGCTCCAGCCCTCTGATCATTTTTGTGGCCCTCCTCTGAACCCACTGCAGCAGGTTCATGACCTTCTTATGTTGAGGGCTCCAGAGCTGGACACAATATTCCAGGTGGGGTCTCATGAGAGCAGAGTAGAGAGGCAGAATCACCTCCCTCGACCTGCTGGCCATGATTCTTTTGATGCAGCCCAGGATACAGTTGGCCTTCTGGGCTGTGAGTGCACATTGCTGGCTCATGCTGAGTTTCTCATCAATCAACTCCCCCAAGTCCTCCTCACGGCTGCTCTCCATCCATTCTCTGCCCAGCCTGTATTTGTGCATGGGATTGCCGTGGCCCACGTGCACGACCTTGCACTTGGCCTTGTTGAACTTCATGAGGCCCATCTCTCAAGCCTGTCCAGGTCCCTCTGTATGGTATCCCTTCCCTCCAGTGTGTCAACTGCTCCACACGGGTTGGTGTCATCAGCAAACTTGCTGAGGGTGCACTCTATCCCAACATCCATGTCACAACAAAGATGTTAAACAGCACCAGTCCCAGTACTGACCCCTGAGAAACACCACTTGTCACTGCTCACCACTTGGATGCCGAGCCATTGACCGTAACAGTTTGAGTACAACCGTCCAGCCAGTTTCTTATCCACCAAGTGGTCCATTGGTCAAATTCGTGTGTCTCCAATTTAGAGACCAGAATGTTATGCAGAACAGTGTCAAATGCTTTGTACAAGTGCAGGTAGATGACATCTGTTACCCACCAACACTGTAATGCTGTTGTGGAAGGTCACCAAATGTCAGGCACGATTTGCCCTTAGTGAAGCCATGCTGGCTGTCACCAATCACCTCCTTATTTTCCATGTGCCTTAGCAGAGTTTCCAGAAGGATCTCCATGATCTTGCAGGGCACAGAGGTGAGACTGACCAATCCATAGTTCCCCGGGTCTTCTTTTTTATCCTTTTTAAAAATGGGGGTTATATTTCCCCTTTCCCAGTCAGTGGGAACTTCACCAGACTGCCATGACTTCTCAAATATGATGGATAGTGGCTTGGCAACTTCATCTGCCAGTCCCCTCAGGACCCACGGATAAATCTCATCGTCCCATGGACTTGTGAACCTTCGGGATCCTCAGCTGGTCTTAAACCTGGTCTTCTCCTCATTCTTCCAGTCCCTGCCTTTGCTTTCTGCAAGGCAGAAACCGTTTGGGTGGTGTGGTTAGAGCCCTTCCCAGTGAAGACTGAGGCAAAGAAGTTGTTGAGTATCTCAGCCTTCTCCATGTCCTGGGTGACCAGGTCTCCCGTTTCCTTCCTGAATGGGCCCACATTTTCCCTAGTCTTCTTTTTGTCGCTGATATACCTATAGAAAGCATTCTTGTTGCCCTTGATGCCCCTGGCCAGACTTGTAGCCTGGGTGATAAACCGTGGAACAAAAGCGATCAGATGCCTTTGGAATGAGTCTCCAGCCAGTTGTTCTTCAGAGAAACTGGTGTTTCTATTTCTGAAAAAGCAAGAGGCTTGCCCCCAGGTTCAGGTACTGGAATATGACTGGGGTAACGCTGCAGCAGCGTTTCCTGTATTGTAGACTACTTAATCATGCTTAAAGAGCAAGAGCAAATTCATCTCTACTCTCTTAAGCTATTCTTATCTCAAGACTTCTTTTAAAAAAATCTTGTAGGGTAAAACTCTTCATCAGTAGCATTTAGAGTGGAGAATTTTGGATCTCAAAAGACAAATTATTAATACATTATGATTTTATTAAATGCAGCTTTCTAGAACCGCTGTC